CCAGACCGTTTTCCAGTTGGGCAACGCCTTTTGCACTTGACAGCCCTAAAATAACGAAAGGACAAAACAAATACGACTTAGAAACTGATTGCGCTCCTTGTTTGACACAAAATATATAAAAGAACTGTAAAAATTAGACCAACCGACTACTGTTCCAACGAGGATGGCTGCCGTCACAAACTTCATATTCCTTTTGTTCGAAGACGCACAATTTTTAGGAGCAGGGATTGCTTTGCACGGAGTTACACCGAAGAAACGGCTGCGGGCAGTCAAGGCACAAGGAAAGGTTTACAGGTATAAGTGTAATTTGTAATAGTTACAATTACAACCTTAGACACCGCAAGTTTTCTTGCAAATGAGCAAACTTTTTTATTTGAAAGTTGAATTATTATAAATGCTAATACCTTCCACCTTTAAAATCTTTAATTTAATCTCCTTCGACTCACGTTATGTAGGGACAATTGATGTGATTTCGGTTTCTGTTATCACTAGGCTTGCTTTAATATCTACAACAAACATTTGAAGCACTGCCAGGAATCGTAGCGGGTCATGAGAGCTTGGTATTTGCTTTATTTATCGTGTGCCTAACTTTGCAAAGCGGCCGCTTATGTATGCTTTCTTGTAAATAGAAACAGCTATGCTAGACGGTTATTTTCTTCTTACTTAGACTTGCATGTATATATTACAAATTGCACAAAATATTAGGAACGACGTTTAGTAGCACTAAAATATACTATAATCGTTAAGCGTGAACATTATAAATTTACGCTGTAATTGAAATGATGAGAACTAGCCGTACGGGGCATCTGTGCAACTATTACTAAGGATAACATCCAGCTGACAATGAATTTAGAAGTAATACTGATGCCCGAGTACCACTAGAGCAACAAACAGTAACAAACAACAGCGATGCTGAATGCTGGGCTAGTTGGTATTGGTCTTGGGTTGCCAAAGGCATGGTAGCGCTTTTTAGACGAGGGCAAAAGAAAGAAGGACAAGACAGACACGAGCGCTGACTGCAACTATTTAATCAACATGGAGATGAGGCATATATACACGCTTCAATCCTAACAATCAGCCAACCCCAGGCCTTGCCGCCGCTCGCATGAACTACCTCCATATCGAAAAGGTCGATGGAAGCAACGCTGACACACCCTAATCCTGCTCTTTTTATATCGTCCGCTTCGATAATTTCCCTAACCGTTCTATTTTTATGTTTAGCCAGTACTGAGCATGAGTCAAACAACGATTTACATCCGCAGTCATGGCAATGCATTGAAAAGTGGCCATCCCGATAGTTTTTGACGTTCAGACTATGTTCCCGGAGCCTGTCGTTCAGACATCTCCCAGTCTGACATACATATTTCTTACCGCATGGTAACGGAATTTGATACACCACGCCCTCAACACAAACAACAAACGGATTTCTGTGCCTTATCACTCAACCCAGCGAGGCTTTGCGGAAAGGATTCGTCAAATGGCTCAGCCTGGCTAGCTTTTCTGGCGCAGAAAAGACCTGCTCTCGGTTCTTCGGGACCCTCGCAAGCCGAAATCGGACAGCCGACGACTGCGAGAGTTCTTCAGCATCGTGGACCGGTGCACGGAATCCATCTGGTAGCAGTCGTTGACACGTCTTAGAGGCAGCATACCCAAGAAACGTCCAGTGGTCACTTGCAACGTCAGGACTGTAAGTGATGTGCTGCAGCTCCTTGAGGACGCTAGACGGGTACTGGCTTTAGGGCCTAAGTTTGCAGTTGAACCGGTTATGAGTGCTCCGGAACTTCTAGGGCTTGTCCGAGATGTCTCTAGGTGCGCTCCAGAGGACGCAGTTAAGAGATGCATATCTGAGGGTGTGGATGCGTTACGCCGTAAAAAACCGGCATCGCCGGTATGCCAGTTAGACGTGTTTTCTTTTTGTTAAAAGAACGCCAGTTGTCGGTCCTTCCCGCTGATAAAGAAGGGGGGTCTGTTGTTTTAACGGAGGGGGAATTTGGAGGGAAAGCCCTCGAGGCTATCACCTCCGTGTTCAATCTACGGCAGAATGTGCCTCTGAAAAAACTGAAGGGAAAGGGGAAGCGTCTTTGTAATAGGTTAAACCTGACCCGCTTGGCTAAAAGCGTTGAAAACAGCAGAAGTGGTTGTTTACAGATTATGTTCAGTGTGAAAACATATAAGGAAAACTGGCCTTTGAGGGTCATAGTTTCTGAGCATGGAACTTGACAAAAGTCGATTGCCTTGTGGTTGCAAGATGAACTTAAGATCCTTACCATTGACGACCCGTTTTTAGTCAGGAGCTCTGACGAAGTGGTGGATTTTTTGAGGATGAACGCTGACGTAGGTTATTTAGCACGTTCATGAGACATTAAGGATCTTTATTACTCCTTACCACATGACAAACTACGAAGTTGCGTCGAGGATTGTATTCAGGGGTATGGGGTAGTAGCTTTTCAAAACGCTGCGGGCGCAACGGTGGATGACTTTTTATATCTACTCTCGTTTTATCTTAGGTCTACTTTTGCGGAAGGGAACAAAGACACGTACTTTCAAAAGGAAGGTATTTGTATCGGCTCATGTCTAGCGCCAATTTTAAGTGACATTCCTTAGCTTATCATGACAGAGTCCTTTCGGACTGCCTGAGCGCTTTTAACGTAAGGAAGTGTTTTAGATTCGTTGATGATTTTTTAGTATTTCTTAACTATGACTTGACACATTTCCACTCGGTGGTGGATAGCCTCTTAACTATGTTTAGTGATGCCCTTCATCCCCCCGAAACTTACACGTGAGGTGCCGGTAGATGGTGTCATTCGTTTCCTTGACATCAAGCTTACTTTCTTCGAGAATCATGTATGTTGGATGTACCAACCTAGAGCTAACAAGCCCCTGCTGCCTTTTAACTCGTCCCACTCAAAACTGGTTAAGAGAGGGATTGCTAATTTATGCTTCAAGAGCGCCCTTCATAAGTCATGTCACCATGTGACACAATTGAGTGTCCTGGAGCAGTCTGAACGTCTGTTGGCGGCTGGTTACCCGGAGGCTGCACTGGTATCGGTAGCGGAGATGATCCTTCAGACGCTTCGCGCAAAGCGCAACACCCGTCCAGAAGAGGCCAGGAGTAAACAAAGGATTACAGTCGTGCCTTATATGCACAAAACGGCGCATGACCTAAAGAAAATAGCAAGCCGCATAGATACTAAGGTGGTACTTTCTGCGCCAGAAAGGCTAGCCAGGCTGAGCCATTTGACGAACCCTTTCCGCAAAGCCTCGCTGGGTTGTGTGATACGGCACAGAAATCCGTTTTTTGTTTGTGTTGAGGGCGTGGTGTATCAGACTCCGTTAACATGCGGTAAGAAATATGTAGGTCAGACTGGAAGATGTCTGAACAACAGGCTCCTGGAACATAGTCTGAACGTCAAGAACTATCGGGATGGCCACCTTTCAATGGATTGCCATGACTGCGGATGTAAACCGTCGTTTGACTCATGCTCAGTACTGGCTTAACATAAAAATAGAACGGTTAGGGGAATTATCGAAGCAGACGAGATAAAAAGGGCAGGGGTGGGGTGCATCAGCGTTGCTTCCATCGAACTTTTCGATAATGAGATGCAGTTCATGCGAGCGACGGCAAGGCCTGGGGTTGGCTGATTGTTAGGATCGAAGCGTGTATGTATGCCTCATTTCCATGTTGATTAAATAGTTGCAGTCAGCGCTCGTGTCTGTCTTGTCTTTCTTTCTTTTGTCCTCGTCTAAAAAGCGCTACCTTGCCTTTGGCAACCCAAAACGACAGCGACAAGCCTTCAACACATGCAGAACGCTCGCGATGGTACCTTTGATAGGCGTTTAACCGTTCGGTGCTCGTGAAGTAAGCAGGAATGATTGCAAGCTTGCCAGAGATACCCTCGCGTACATGATGCTCATGTTTGATCATAGCCTCGTTCATTCTACAAAGCCTGTCAAATCACGAAAGACTCTGGTATGAGGCTTGCCGCTGTCGTTTGTTTCTGTTTGTCGCTCTAGTGGGCCTCGGGCATGACTAAATAACATAACGTGAACAACTTCGATAAGTTATTTAAATGTACTGTAAACGACTTAATTTTCGCGAGGACCTAAATTTCGCAAATTTCGCGAATCGCCTGCAATTCGCGAAAAATAGGTCCCGCGAACAATTCCGGTAAAGTGTAAACATATTGGAATTTGAACATATTTAGTTGCGCACACAGGGACAAGGACAGAGAAGATGAACACGTAGACGACAGACAAGCGCACTCTACTCTACTACATTGGAATTTATATTGAGATCCCACCGCGTCTCGAAAACTAGAGCCCGCGAATTATTCCAAAACTTCAGCTTTGACCTAAATCGCGAATTACTGAACCCGCGAAAAATGAAGTCGTTTACAGTAGATAGTATCTTGAGCGGTTAAAAATTTAGGGTGCAGGGGCTTTGTCAGTCACCGTGCCTTAATCTGTGCACCGTATACAGGCGGAAAACCGGCAAAGCAAAAATAAAGAAAAATATCTCTTACAAGCAGTACGTACCTTTAACGCAATTTTATATCTACGTCCAGCTCACCCAAGTGTTTCTTCAGCGGCGCCCACAATACGTATTTAGAGGCATTCGTCGGAGCTCACAAATGTCGTTACTGCTTGCTACAATTGAAACAGTCGCGCAAATATCGGGCTTCCGGTTTTGTCAAGGGAACTAATTTGCCGTACGCTTCCTGGATAAAGTTCTTCTAGAACCTAAAACAAGCACGTGAGAAACCACGTATAAAATACAACTCACACGTGATGACCTCCAAGCTGGGAATGTTGTTCTTAGCTCCTGAGGTGAGGCCACAGCCCCGAACCATCTGCGCATCTGTTAACATGCACGTTACTATTTACCGGCCTTCGTGTTAGGTTGTTAAACTTAACATCTGCTTCGGTAAGTGTAGGAAAACCCAACGTCACTTCGGGCGATGCATGCCTTCGTGGTCTGCCGCGTTCAAGTTGCAGATCGCAACGCTGAAAAACCTGTCGCTGCTGCTCACCTTTCGGGAACTCAAGAGATCAGTATTGAGTATGCCCTTAACGAATTAAGCATTCGATTATGCTTTCGACTCTTCCCGGTTTCGCTATCGGAAGCTACGCGGTGTCATAGTGAACTGGAGCGCACCAAAGGGATACGCGTACCTATGTGAACAATC